GCTTTTTTGGCATTGGGGTCCCCCCTAAAATCTCTACTAGACCTAAAGGGTCTGGTATGAATTGGGGAGGGGGCTGTTATTTTTTAACAAAATAAATTTATTCAAAATGACATTCAGAAAAAAGATTTGTACGCATCCAAAATTTTCTTTATCAAAAATTTGGATACATTTAGATTCATAATTTTACATTCGGAAATTCAAATGCAACCAAATGTCTAAATATGCCAAAATTAATCCAAATTTCAATTTGAAACTAAATGAATCGCACATGTCTAATTTCTTTTTTAATCACAGAAGCAGCAGCAGTAGCTGTGCTTTTAGGTGGGACTTCTCTGCATCTTTCTGTTTCCAATTTGTCAAAGCTTTTCCAGCATATCTTAACAGATGAGAAAAACAACGGGATCTTCAGTGAGATTAGTATTCATGCATGCATGAACTGTCAGAATTTGCATATGGATCAAACATATTTTGTTAAATAATACCAAAGATTTGCAGATAAAACTGTTATAACAAAACATAACAATCTTTCATATAAATGTTAGAACACATTTATACATCTGCTTGTGTGTGTGTTTTTTATAAATTTGTTTAAATAGCTAAAAACAGTGTAAACAAACACATACAACACATAATTTTTTTTAAATAAAAGACTTGTCAACAACTGTTTTGTGTTTTTTTTTAATATAAAATAAAGGTCTTTTCTATGGGGTAGAGTGTTTATTTACAATTTACTGTATTTGGTAAATGACTAGAAAAATGAGCAGTTACCGCTGAACTGTAAGGGTTAATTTTACTACAACCTGGAGTTCTTCATTAACCCCTTTATTGACACAACTTCAGAAAAAAATCTCGTTCCTGGGGATCGGAGCAATTTTTTTTTTTGCTTAACCATCATTTTCATCCTTCCTTTAATTTTTCTTTTAAACTTTATTTTTACATTTTATTTTTTTTACACCAGAGGGCACTAAGGGGTTATTTTTTTAATTACAGAGAATACTCCTCTAAGAGACTTTGTATCAGTTTGTAACACAGCTGGCTCACAGCCAAAAGTTATAACCAAAAGTCAAAAGCAAAAGTTAAACAGTTTCCCCTAGAACAGGACCCCTTTGGAAAATTTCCTCTTACCTCTTGTTCTGGGGACTACTCTAATATGTCCCATTTACCTTCACTTTCTTTCTCTGTGACAATGGTCGCCAGTTCAAATAGAGGGGTGAATCTCCCTAATGGGACACATACAGTGACACCATAATGCAAAGGGTCTAACCCTTAACAACTTTATGCAAAACTAAAAAAAAAAGGTTTTGCCTAAAGACACTTTATTAGGTAAAAACCTAAGATTTCATTGCCTCTATTCTGAATAGGGATGAGACTTGGGTTAAGTTCGGACATGGGTTTTAGGTCCAGCTTGTTTGCTGTTGTAAACCCACCCAATTATTGTGGCTGTTTGGCTTCAGCACCAGGGATCCTGGGTGATGCCATTAACCAAGTGACCATCACCCAGGATACTGTGTGCTGTGTTTACATTAGCACAGTGGTGGGATCTATCATTTTGAACGTGTACACATCAGCAGGGGTCAGGCCATTGTGATTGATGATGACAATAAATTTACAATGCTAAATGCATATGGTCTGATATGGTACAGGAAGGATAAGAGTCTGGTATGTATTTTGGGTGGGATCCTGTGCAGTTTTTTCTTTTCTTTTGCATTGGTTTAGGATTTTTCCATTTTTTTGGTAATGTTACAATACTGTCCTAGTTCCATAACACCACATGCAGCTTTAAGGCATTCCACAAGCATGCTACCTAATTAATTTGTATATTTTCAATGTTGCCCTTTAAGCCGCATATAAAGACCCTCTCCCTGCTGAAGGGTTTTTTATTGCATTGCTATTTTTGAAACAATAACTTGCTCATCAACCTTAGAAATGGCTTGAAAAATAGAGCATTAGACTCCCATATATTTCAGTTTGGTCCAGCTATTCACAGACTTCACACTGAGTTAGTTGAGCCCAGCAAAAAACTGACCCAGCCAGGCTCACTTATGGCTAGTTGTGAACTAAGATAGATGTTTACACCCTGTCTATAGCTACAGAGGTGAATGAGTGCTTGTTTTAAAGTGCTTTTACTGCTTGTTCAGAATATGTAAATGTTTTTGAGTGCATAACCTGGGTACAAGTTCACTTTAAAGTTGCAATTTTTAACAAAATAATAGATTTGTAAAGTTAAAATCATAAGGACAAAACAATCAATGAACAGTTTATCTCAAATTCTAGAATTAAATTGACAGCAGTTCAGTAATTAATGATTTTCATTATTCAGTACTAATGTCAGACTTACATAGTTACATAGTATTTGAGGTTGAATAAAGACCTCAAAGTCCATCAAGTCCAACATATTAGGATCTCGTTAGTTAGGCAGGAACGATCTTTCCTGAACCCATGCTGATTGTCATTAACTATCCCGTTTTCCTGAACAAATTCTACCAGATAATCCTTTATTATGCCCTCTAGCATTTTACAAACTACCGATGTTAGACTGACCGGCCTATAGTTCCCAGGTTGGCACCTAGCCCCCTTTTTGAATATTGGGACTACCGTAGCCCTCCGCCAATCACTGGGGATCCGACCAGTCATTAAGGAGTCCTTAAGGAGACTTAAATTGTAGATATGCAGTAAGGGGTCTATTTATATAACAATTTGATGGATAGTTTGGCCAACATTATCAAACAATTCACTTTATAGTCTTTGGGCAACATTTATCCTATTTATAAAGCAAAATTAAAGAACATCCACCCAATTTTCATGCTACAAAAATGACAAATACAAAAGTGAATTTCACCACTTTAAGGGTAACTGTCATTTTTTTTGTTGTAAACAAAAAAACAGCATGCCCCCCAGAGTTAACCAGCACACCAAGCATGTGGACTGGTTTCCCCACAACAAAGGAGACTGTGCAGCTTCTCTACTATGTTAATACCAGTCCACATAGCCTTCACCCCTGGAGGGGGTGTTGCTTTGAGTGGGATTCCGCAAAAATAAGGGTATTCCGCTCAAAGAATTAGTGGCCAATACTAATTTTCATAGGAATCTTCTTCAAACCTTTGCCCAAGAATGGGATCTAGCAAAGAGGGTGGCATATATGCCATCTACCTGCCCACCATAAGGGGAAAGTAGGTGATCATCCCCCTCCCTGGTGAACTGGTTATATGGCTTCTGTGGAACAATGAAGGTACTGAGACAAAGTCTATAGATTGATATGTTACAGACTTTATTTTTTGATCACACAGATTACGGTTTCCCAAGGTAGGAATTCTAGAATGGTTGTCTGTTATGAACTCATGTAAATGCGTTCACTATGCCTGAGTGTCCTCTTATATCCGTGGTTCTCTAGACTGGCAAATCTGTGTTTATTTAAACTTCCCCCATCAGATTAAAGTTTACTTAAAAAACTAAAAATTTTACTCGCCTTAGTATTTCAGTAAATATGATTCCCCTGATCTGGAGAACATTTTTTTGAGTGTTAAAGTTGTTGAAATCATAATACATCAAATATTTTACAAAACCAGAAGCAAAGAGAACACAATATTAACCAATGGAACAGAAAGACAAATACCTTACAGAAAAAATAAAATTTCACATGCACACATCCCAAATTTAGTAAAAAATTTTAATTGCACAAAAATGTATAAAAACAAAAACCCATTTAAGCCACATTATACAGACATTTAAAATGACATAAAATCTCAAACTAAACCACAATCCCATTGAGGTATAGAGAATATAATGTGCTCATATAGAGAAAAAGTGATCTTACCCTGGCAGAGAATAGCTGGCCATAGTTTAACAGTTTTTTTTGTCTGTTCAGCCTTCAGGCTAAACAAAAAGGCTAATAGATTCCTGCATCATCACTAAACAGTGTATATGGACAAATATCACGCTGCTAGCAATTGTATTCAGCAGCAGCTGCTAATTGGCCAGGTAGTGCCTGCATCTGCTTTGATGTAGTCACTGTTCAGCCAAAAAGTTCAGACTGTCTCATTTGACAAAATTGGATTGAAAAATCCAGCTTTGTCAAGTGGATGGCTGCCAACAGGGCACACTCTGTATATGATCAGCTTGTGACCTGGGTTTTAAAATATTTTGCGATATGAAGTAAATACAACGTGAAATACAGTATTAGAAAACCCAGTGCTAAGGTGAGTAGACCGAAATTAAACAATGATGTATAGCCATGATGAGCTGTCTGAGCTACCAGAGTGACTGTGCTCTAATATGAGATAATGGGGGTGATTTACTAACCTAAACACACACACACACCAGGTGTGTGTGATTTTCACACAGCAAAACGTATTTATCAACCAAAAAGTCTCTAAAAGCATATTTCCACTAATGCCATATATGGAAAAATCATGCACATGATGCATATATAATACTGCTTCACAGTTTAGACAAAAATGGTTAGCTCATGCATTTACATTCCTGCATTCATCAATGCAAGCAACATAACATAGAGCTAATTTACACAACATTACCTTGCAATTCATTGCAGGGCTTTCCACAACACACCTGCTGGGTGTGTACACACTACAAAGGTGTTTCGATTCCTCCCATAGATCATGCTGGGAGGGAACACACTACAGAGGTGTATACACGTTCGTGGTGTGTTTAAAAGGTTAGTAAATCAACCCCAATGTGTAGTTATGGAAAAGCAGACCCACTACATATGTGCACAATAGAAACAACAGGGTAATAGTGAGAAATAACATTAGTGCAGAAAAATCTCAATAAATAAAGTACTACTCAGCTTAGCATGAGAAGGACATCCAGAGAAATGGGTTTCAAATCGTTTTTTTTTCTAATTACTTTTTGTACAGTAATTTTAGTATGATTATAACATATTGGGACATGTGTATTCCATGTTGCAAGTACAATATATACTAAATAGCTTGATCAATAATATTCAGACATACATTACTAACTACAATAACATAAAAACTTACAGCCATTTCATTCATGCTGAGAAGCGATGGAGATGGAGGTATCGTACCCAGTCGATGTTCATATCCTTCATTCAATGTCATGCCCCAAAACTGACTGTAGTTTTCGGCTTTCCACCTTTATTTAAAAATGTGATTTTATTATTTTGTTAGAACTACCAGTAATAATACAAAAAATAAACAAATAATAAATAAATAAACAACAAATACATTTCACAGTTCATTGCAAACAGGTAGAACAATGTAGTAAGGAATATCATACTTTAGGAAATCAGTAAATTTGCTTAAAGCTAAACTCAAGTATCTACAGCTGAGTGATATACAAATAAGTTACAGATTTGTGAATAGTTAAGGTACTAGAATACATTTTTAAGATTAAACTTCTGAGTTTAGGGTCACTTTAAATTCAGCAGAGAAAAATTAAGTCTCCTCCCCTGTCAGACAGGATTATTCTGTGTGACAGAGCTGTGTAAATTTCAGGACTGAAAAACAGTCCCCTTCTATGTATTTGACCTGTCTATTTAGCCATTTACCTTAGTTCAGATTTAAAGGAAATGATTGTTAAAAGGGAAAATCGGGTAAAATGAAAATGGTTCTCAAAAAATTATATATACTGCAAGTTATATAATAAACTGCAAATAATGTATATTTTATTGCTTTATAAAATAAAGTGTAATTAGAAAGTAAAAGTCAGTTCAAACAAATATGTATGACCAAACTGGTCTCCATCTTTCTCAAAAATGCTAGATATTGCTATCTGTAGCTTTTTTGAATATCATATTAGAAAATGATTCCAGTATTTTTAAAATTGCTATACATCAAAAGCAAGTTAGATTCATTTAAGTTTTTTCTGTTTTGTTTTAATAGCTTGTAAGCAAGCTGTCAAACTCTATGATGATTGTCAAAGTAGGATGAACTAAAATGTTTTCATATATGTAATGGCTTCATTCTGCAGCTTTCAGAAAAGTTTCCACAGTCTGTTAAACTATTTCTTCAGAAACAAAAATGTTATCATCCAAAAGATTAGATAGTCTTGTGAAAGCTAAGTTTGAAAATGTCTTTCCATACTTTTATTAATATATGCTGAATACATGAGACTTGATTTACTAAATTATCAACAAGAGGTTTTTTCATATTAAAAGAGATTTTCTACTTCGGTTAGATATCGGGAAACCCATTTTCCACTTTGGCATTTTGAAGGGGTTATATTGCTTCTACTTATGCCTATAGATGAGCCAGACATTTTGACAAACTTGATTTTGCTCTTAATTGGTGGGGAGATTGTCCTCTAATTTCAACTTTTTACACTGTAAGGAAAGTTAAAAAAACAAAACAAAAACAAAAGCAATTTGATCTATCTTCCATAAGCTTGTATCTTTAATAAACAAGCAAAGAGACTTCCGGTTCCGGCGCCGGATGGACTAGCGGTGTTTTCCGTAGCTCCGTCCCCGTCACATCCCTAACGTCTAAATCGGGACTAAATCGAGCCACACCAAGCCCCGGATAGCCACCTACAAATCCCGCTGGTGATGGACAAATTCATTGCGCGATCGCAGCCGTTCCGCCGCATGCTAAATATACCACCTGAGCCGCCGATCGCGCTGCCTGCATTGGCGGCCATGGAGGACAATGCAGCTGACGACATGGGGTCGCAGGGTGAGTCGGAGGTAGCTTCTCCCCATGCCCACATAGACTACCAGCACCTGGCAGCAACTGTGGCATCCCACTTGCGATCAGAGATCGGGGCCATTATAGCAGACTCATTGAAGCTGCACCTGGGGCCTATTTCCACGGCCTTGGAGTCACAGGCAAATAGAATGCAGTCTCTGGAGGCCCGTGTTAGTGGGGTGGAGGATCGGGCTGCTGAGGCTGACAGATTTCATACTGACGACAAAAAAATGCTGCAATACCTGCAAGACAAGGTCGATGACCTAGAAAACAGATCTCGCAGAAACAACCTCAGAATAATTGGGATCCCTGAATCAATAATGCCTGCTGATCTACAGCGCTTTTGTTCTTCCATTATACCACAAGCCATGGGTATCATGTCTGCCTGCACAGTGGAAAGGGCCCACCGTATAGGCCCCCTAAAGATCAGGAAAGACCCAGGCCAGTTATTGTAAGATATCTGGACTATTCAGATAAACATCACATTCTGCAGACCTATAGGAGGCAACGCCAACTGGTAGCGGGCAGCCGCAAATTGCTGCTTTTCGCGGATTATTCAGCTGAACTGTTTAAAGTACGTCGCTCTTTCCATGAGGTCTGCCAGTCCCTGGTGCACAGGAGAATCAAGTTCTTACTGGCGTACCCAGCAGTTCTGTGCCTGTCAGATCCCGACGGCAATCAACTTCGCTTCACCTCAGCTGCCCAGGCCAAGGTGTATGTTGACAGGCATCTCTCTGATCCTGCCGCGCACTCCAACTCACCACTCAAGAGTCCGCCGTGGAAGAAGAGGACCTGACTGCCAGATCGTTCCTCCATTGTTTTCCCTCCTACCCTAAAAGGGGTGCAAAGATGGGCGTGTTCACACAGCTGTGTGACACCACTGCGCTATACTTGACGGGTGTTCCCAAGTCGTTAACTATCTCTCTTTTTTTATTTTTATTCCTCACTCTGTTATCGTTCATGTTACGAGACTTTTTTTCAACAGTGGCGGGGCGTAGCAACCGGAAGTTCTCGATCCCATGACCACCGTGGCTCTCCTCGAGGGGTTAACCTTTCCCCAGTCGCAGGTGGCCAGACCTTTGTACACCACCATCCAGAAAAAAGGAAGTCCCTGACAGGTATCTGTTCCTACCTGAAGGTTGAAGTTTATCTTGTGCTTGTTGTTGTTTTTGTTTCTGCACTACTAGTCGCAAGCAGCCGCACCTATCCAGCCATGTGGATGAAGACCTCTCTCGACACTCTCTTCAACAACCGAGTAACCGCTGTGTTACACCTCCCTTCCCCCGCTATCGTGGGTCCACTGAGTCGTTCCTGGAGCACTGGGACACAGGTAACGGCTCGCCTCTGCAGATTATTGGTCTGTCACAACCTGATTATCATACCATCACCTCGAATGTTATTCCTCCTGGAATGTCAAGGGACTTAGGATGCCCCAAAAGAGGAGGCAGGTATTACGTCCCCTTAAAAAACATAGGGTAGACATTGCACTGCTGCAGGAAACCCACCTTCCCCGTGATTACATATCTCGCCTAAAGCAATCATGGGTGGGAACAGTGGTGGGGGCACCCTCCGTGGGCCGTTCCGTTGGAACGGCGATTCTCATAGGCAAAAACTTACCTCATTTACTCATTGCCCAACGGCATGACTTGGAGGGGGTCAGTGGTCCCATGTGACTATACAGATCGGGCAAACTACCCTCGAGATCTGGAATATTTTTGGCCCCAACTTGGATAACAAACCTTTCTTTGACAAGCTACTGTCGCAAGAGTCTCCTCCTTCCCCTGATACTTATGTTTTCCTTGGGGGAGAATTCATTGCGGTCCCGACTACTCTGGAGGACCACTCCTGAACCAAAGGGCGCCCTTCTAATGCCACACTCGCCCAAGATCTAAATTTTTCGGCAATTATTCAGGCGTGTGGGTTTGTGGACATATGGCGATATCTACACCCTCTAACTCGTGAGTTCACCCATTTTTCCCATGCGCATGACTCTCTCTCACGCCTGGACATGTTCCTGGTCTCGCCTAACATGGTATCCAAGGTTTCCTCTGTGGTCATAGAAGATATGGTCATATCGGATCACTCTCCGGTGATGGACATAGCACAATTGGGGATACCCTCCAGATCTTTAGTATGGCGCTTTCCCTCTTACCTACGTACTGATGATACGTTTCAAGCGCAGTTAACTTCTTGGTGGGATGAATATGCTTCTGATAATGCTCAACATGCTGTGGATCCTAATCTATTCTGGGAGACGGCTAAGGCGGTCCTGAGAGGCAGGATATTGGCATATGTCTCCTCCCAGAAGAGAAGGACCAGGCAGGGGTATGCTGAGGCATGCACAGTGGCCAGGACTGCATATCTTAATTATCGACAAGCCCCTTCCCCTCACTCAAGATCCGAATGGATCCAAGCTAAGCAAACTTGTGACCATTGGATAGCCCAATACGACCTCCAAATACGCTCTCACAAGGAAGAGGAGTTTTTAAAATTTGGGAACAAATCCGGGAAATTATTGGCGAACTTAATCCGGGGACACAACACTCCTTCCCACATCCTGAACCTGACCAAAGACAAGGGCGAGACTTCCGCGGACCCTGAGACTGTATGCGACACATTTCGTACATTTTACCAATCCTTGTATGCGGCGGATACAGGAAACCTCTCTGCGGGGTCCTCCTTACTGGTCCTTGCCTTCCCTGTCCGCCGCAGACCTGGATCGCATGAATGAAGCGATAACCCTTCAGGAAGTCCAGGCAGTTATTCATGGCTCCCCTGGCTCGAAGGCTCCTGGTCCTGATGGCTTATGCGCCGAATTCTATAAATCCTTGACAGATCGGGTCTCCCCTACCCTAGTATCCCTATATAATTACGTATTGCAACAAGGTTGCTACCTGCCCACGTTCAACGCCACCTATATCAGGATCTTACCTAAGAAGGGGAAAGATCCACTGCTCCCTGGCTCATGCTGTCCTATTTCTCTGCTTAACTGTGATGCAAAACTCCTATCTAAAATCATGGCCAACAGACTGCCGGTGTGCTGCCTCAGCTTATTTCACCAGACCAGGCGGGTTTTGTCTCCGGTCGCTCCGCTGAGTTAAATGTGAGAAAAATACTTACTGCTTTGGAGGGAATACGGTTGTCGGGATCTTCTCGCGGACCATTGGCCCTTTTTGCCTTGGACACGGAGAAGGCCTTCGACAACGTGAATTGGTCCTGGTTGTCAATGGTAATGGAAAGATATGGCTTCTCAGGGATATTTTTGAAATATGTTACAACAATGTATAATGCTCCTTCCGCACGGATATATACCTGTGTGGCCCTTTCCCCATCCTTCCGTTTATACAAGGGAACTCGCCAGGGTTGCCCTCTCTCCCCACTCCTTTTCAATTTGGTGATAGAACCCCTGTCCCGAGCCTTAGCATCCTCCCAAACCTTTACAGGATACAGGTCTGGCCCCTTCGACACCAAACTGGCCTTATTTGCAGACGACATCCTGTTACTCCTGTCTGATCCTCTAGCACAAATCTCAAGAATCTTTGATCTTATTACCCACTATGGTTCCTTCTCTGGCCTTAGAATCAATGTACATAAAAGTGAACTCCTTCCTCTGACTTCAGATAAGGCTTTTGTAACTACCCTTTCCCGCACATATCCATCCTTGCTCATGCAGAAACACTCTATCACTTATTTAGGTATCTCCATTCCCCGGATGGCTAGAGATCTATATACATTAAACTACAAACGTATTATAAACAAAATAGTCCAAGAACTGCGCACCTGGAAAGATTATCCTATTTCCCTTTTAGGCAGATGTCATTCCCTTAAAAATGGATCTGCTTCGCCAGGTTACTTTACCCTCTCCAGACTATACCCCTCCTTTTGAAACATAAAGATATCCAAATCCTCCAAAGTGCCTTCATTTCGTTTCTTTGGCGGGGGAAGATGGCGAGGATCACCCTCAAAAAACTCCAACAGCCAGTGAGGAAGTTGGGTGCCAACCTCCCGAACATTAGGGCTTACAATTTGGCCAGCCTATTCCGCCATATACAGGATTGGACTCACGATACCACCTTTTTCACCAACATTCCCTTAGAGAGCCACTTAATGAAACCCTGGTCTCCCCCTGGTATCCTGAACACCCCACTGAAGCTCCTCCCCAAACACATTAAAGACCACATTCTCCTCACGGACACTGTGATAGCTTGGAGGGAACTCAGGAAAATACTCCACCTGCCCAGCGTCATCTCCCCAATGATGCCCCCTCAGATCCTCTCCAGGATTTGCGGTAGGCGCTGACTCTAATGCCTTCCGGATATGGGCAGCAAAGGGTATTGTGGTTCTGACGGACGTCTTTGACGCCCAAGGGCGTCTAAAGACCTTTCAGGATCTCCAAACCCAACACCGTCTCCCGGCCACCCATAGTTACCAATACATGCAATTAAGCCACTTTATCTCCAGTCACCTTACACTGCCCTGGCCTGAAATGGTTCATTCACCCCTCTTTCCCTTATTCTCTTCCCCCAGATGAAGATGCCCTTATCCCTTATTGCCCAGAACGTAGTGACCCACATACAGGAATCTTCCACCTCAGTACCGTCCCACATTGGCCGCTGGGCGGCATTTTTGGACATGACCACTGAAGACACAATCCATATGGTGGAGCAGGGTTGGCAACAAATCAGGAAGGTTATTATCAATGAGTCCTGGCGGGAAATATACTTTAAAACAGTTCATAGAGTTTATCATGCCTTTAATATCCCCACTAGGGGTACGTCTTCTTTATGGTTGACTGCTTGTCCGAAATGCCTTCTCCCCCTACCTGACCTCCTACACCTACTATGGTCCTGCCCTCATATACAAAACTTTTGGTCAGCCATAGTGTCCTTCACGAATGTGCACTCACATAAGAACAGGACGTTCTCCCCAAACTTATGCCTACTGCATGCCCTCCCCCTGCCCATGAACAGGAACCCCTCCTGCCCTACCCGCTGGGAGCATCTCTGTCTTCTGACAGCCAAAAAGGCGATTCTGTGTAACTGGATCTTATCTGCTCCCCCTTCCATGGACACATTCCGCCCCCTGCTGAATCGCTTGTTGTTATTGGACAAGCTGGACACGAAATTTAATCAAGCTCGCACTAAAACGTTTTTTGCTACTTGGACATCTTATGTTGCAGCAGAGTTTTCATTACAACAGCTGCAAGATCTGATGTCCATTTTTAAGCTGTCCAACTGGTACCTCGAGGCCAAACTGATGGGTTCCCTAGGTCCCCTGGATGTCCTTTGACCCTTGATCTGCTGCTCTCAATCGAGGTTCCCACCACCACTTTCCACCACGAGTGTTCCTCCTGTTGCACCCACGAATACCCCTAATGGTTCGAATTGGTCTTCTCCCCACAGTACCGACCCGCATGGCTATGGGGTCTGCTACTTGTTGTTTGAATGGCACATATTTGATGCGCAACATTCCAGCGGAGGGTATCCATATTGTAAGGATCTAGTTATTCAGTTTCAATTTATGGATGTAATTTGCCTGACATGTCTGGATTTCAGTCTGCGCACTGATATATAGGGGTTGATTTACTAACCTAAACACACACACACACACCAGGTGTGTGTGATTTTCACACAGCAAAACGTATTTATCAACCAAAAAGTCTCTAAAAGCATATTTCCACTAATGCCATATATGGAAAAATCATGCACATGATGCATATATAATGCTGCTTCACAGTTTAGACAAAAATGGTTAGCTCCTGCATTTACATTCCTGCATTCATCAACGCAAGCAACATAACATAGAGCTAATTTACACCACATTACCTTGCAATTCATTGCAGGGCTTTGAACAACACACCTGCTGGGTGTGTACACACTACAAAGGTGTTTCGATTCCTCCCATAGATCATGCTGGGAGGGAACACACTACAGAGGTGTATACACGTTCGTGGTGTGTTTAAAAGGTTAGTAAATCAACCCCATAATCTCTGCGGCATATCAATGCTTGATCGTTGTGTAATGTTTTATTTTTTATTATTTTCAATAAAAATTTGACATGCTAAAAAACAATAAAAAATAAACAAGCAATCACTCTGTGCACTTGACTTTTTTATTTAGATAAGTCCAGGCACTCCCCATATCTAAGGCAACATCCAGGTGATGTTTACAATGCTAGTGTAATTTATGTCACTTTGGAAAAAGACTTTGAAGTTTTTATCAACAAACGCTGTTCACTGTGCAGTTTGTGAAATGACAACATGCGTGAGTCACCATGCCCTCATTTCACCTTCTTCTGATGCTTTGACTTCAATACTTTCACTAACGTGAAACAAGTATAAAGACACGTAATTCTGACACTTTTCTGACATTCAGTTACAATTTAGCTGTTCTCAGTCTATGATTTTAAAGTACTGTAGGTATAAACTTGGGATGACTTTCAAAAACTCTAGCATTTTGCAATTCAGCAGTTGGGCAAGCAGGCTATTTAGTTGGCCCCCCCAACCCATCAAACCTCTGGATCAATCAGCCTTTTGCCATCACGGAATGGGGCAGTGGATGAGTCATTTTTTGCCAGGATGCTATTTTCCTAGCAACCAGTATCCCACTGTGAATGACAGCATTGAAGCTTTGCAGTCATTGATGGTGAGAGGATGGTGAGAGGATCGGAGGAAGAGAATCGTTGTTAGTCATATACTTCAGGGGATATTTTAGGACATCATGGGACATGGCAGTTTTTTAGATTCTGATAAGCCCCCCCTGGACCCCACATCCACAGGGCTAGAGAAGTGGGGAAGAGGCCTTAGTCTTCATTACCACAGGGATAAGTCGCTTTGCCAGGTTACTTCCCCCCACCCTGGCCAAGGCACACTCTCTATGTTAAAGGAATGTGACCCATATTTTTGTATTTAGTCCCACTTAAATTCCATACCAGACCCTCATCAAAGATGAAGGTCTGGTATGGTTTTTAGGAAGGAACTCCATGCCATTTTTGGGGTCCCTCTGTACAATCCATACCACACCCTCATGTGGGATACGGGTTTGGTATAGATGTTAAAGGGATTTCCTGGCTGCTTTGTTTACAAACAAAGCAGCTGGGAAATTTAATTTACCGGCAAGTTAAATGGCATTTTATTCTTTGAAAATGTCATTTTTGCTTCACAGACAGGTTTAGAGTATCCCCCAATCATATTATTTAAAAGAATTGTGCATTTTAAATGTTCCTCTTTAAGCCTCTTTGAAAGGGCTGCTACCTACCAAAGCAAATTTTTTCAAATTTTTCTTTTGCACTTTTACCTTTCAGCACCCAGCTCACCATGTCCTTTGTTTGACAATTCCTTTTCTATTCAATCCAACAGACTAATGGGGTTCAGTGAGTGTTCACTATTTGCAAACTTTTTTTAACTGTTTGGCTAACATTCTTTGGGCTCAAACCCAAGTTAATTCGGCTCATCACTACTAGACACCAGACAGACAACTAGCATTTTCAGAAAGATAACAGCAATGACAGACAACATATCCTTTTTATGACACATGAAGGGAAAATGAGCACAAAAGTGGACATGCTTCCATTGAAAACAGTCAGAATATCGGTTTAATCTCTCTATAAAACAAAAGGTGAAAACTAACTGAATTAATGCGGATGAAATCAGCCCCTATGTATTAATTTGTAAAACCAAATATGTTGTTAGTGGGCGGTTTTTCACCAGAAATAAAGGTTTTATAGATTAAAGGAATCTTAAATATGGTAAATAATCATTTGAATATTAAATATGTATTAATTGTCGTCTTACCCAAAATTTCCATTATTGATGTAATTCATCAAATCTGGCTCTACAAGACAAGTATGGTTTGAACAAATCCACTGAGTATTCCGACAGTAACTGCAAGAGAAAATTCAACTGATATCAACATGCAAAAATAATTAAAAATGCTTAAAACTGATATTAATACATTAAAGTTATATTATACATAGAGATAAACAATAAAATACTTCTGAATTGAGATTCTATAAACATTAAACATTCTGAAAAATCTACTGGAAAAAAACAAAACAAAAGTAAAAGCAAACTCTCTCTTTCAAGGATAAATAAACTTACCACTACTTAGTTTTAATGGCTGCATTAGTTTTCTTTTTCCAGGCCAAGAAAATTTTCAGCAAGTACTGAAAATACCTGTTGACATTGCCAGAAATGTGTTCTTGTCACTTCCTGTGAGCTTAACAGAAAGCGGTAACAACTTTATCTTTCCCCTGCAAACAACGAATCCTATCAACCCTAATGTAATGGAGATAAACAATGGAGTGAGCGCAGCCATCCAGGGACAGGAAGTACGGTATTCTCAGGATTAGCAGGTGGAAATACAGAAAAAAAGGCTGAAAAAGAAAAGCACTGCAGCCACATCATCTAAGGACGAGTAAACTGCAATATATGACATTTTTGTTTTTGGGTTTAGATATGCTTTAAAGTCTAACTCCACCTTAAAGCTTTCTTTTCGCTGCACAAAAGCAAAAGGGAAGGGTAAGAAACCTCTTTCCGCTTTTTATTGTTGTCCGAGCCCTTATTAACAACATTTATTATCTGACCTTGTCCCATCATGTACACTATCAGCTGTCTATATAAAACACAAGAGTGCGAAACAATAATAAAGAAGTGATTTTACACACATTGGAGTTGGTGTGATTTTCATTTTCTCTCTGTGGGAGTATACTCTATTGAATCAGGCCAGGCGGCAGATATAAGTACGGAACCTTTTGATCCGATCTAAATTTGTGAGCAGGTCAAAACAATAACATGGGGTTTAAAGGAATAGGGGGGTAATAGAATATCTCTTTAAAGGGGACAAAGACAGCGCCGGAACACATTTTCTTGTACAGTGTGTGTGTAATGGTTAGAACCTCTGATAGGTTTTCATTGTTATCAGTATCTTTTTTGTAACATCGGCCCTGCATTTTTGCCCTGGCATTACAGGGGTTTCACTATGACACGAAATGGGGAAAATGTGCCTAATGGTGTCAACAGACAACAAATACATGATATAAGAACGCAGGTTGCAATGCAACAATTAGGTATTATTCCTTCCAGTAGGATCACAACTGCATACGCCACTTAAGGTACTTAGAACTAAGAGGGTCAATCAGGATTTTCACGTAATTTAATTATGGGTAACAGATCAATGTCCACTTTTAAGCAACCCATTATCATACAGCAAGTTCATCAGCTCAAGGTAGCAAATATCAGTAATGATTCCAACAAAATGGAGTGATCATCAATACATTATAATGCAGAACATCAACATGCGGTCCTCATTTAATATCACAGTTCATCGATATGCATAGAGGATTGTTCAAATTATAACTAAAGGTTCCATCACTTCTAGAGTTCACAAAGAAATACAAAAGTCCTTTGGGAATTTTAGACAGTACTTGCATTTTGGTAGAATTCCTTTTAAGTGGATTTTCCCCAGCAATGTGGATTCAAGCTGATCCAGAACTGACTCTGTAGTAGCTATTAGGAGCAAAGAGTCCAGCTGAGCTCACTGAAGTCAGGTGTGGAGCAGATCAAGCCAGCAATGGAAGACAGCAACCTGAAGCACAGAGGCAGCTTCTGTGCAAAGGTAGGAGGGACCACAAGTCTGAAGAAAAAGCACCCGATCGCGCAGATTGGACTCTACCCCTACCTCTGTCAGCAGAGGAGAGTTCCATGGGGTCTTCGTGACAAGCCTCTCACAAACTTACCCTGCCAGGCGAGCCTTCCTAGGGTATCCAGGCCTCACAATCCCAGTCACTTACAGATGTTTACCTCAGGTCTCTGGTGCTCTGCCAACAAAGGCAGATATTGCTGCACTTGTTCCTACCAAGGCGGATTTTGAAGCATTCACAGCACGTATTAAATCTGTATACAAACAGGGTTTTACTGAAATCAGACAGGAGCTTATTAAAGTCTCATCTAAATTGACACATATTGAGCAAACCAACTTGAATCTTCTAGAAAGAGTTGCTCTTTTGGAACAGATCCAGTACCAATAACCCAATCAATGGCAGCAGTTGATATACAGTATACCTGTGTAGCAGGGAATGTGCCTACCCGCAACTGTTTGGGCTACTTTCAGCATGCACCCACCACTGAATAAAATTGTCTGTCATTTACATCTGTCTGTTTCATTGTTTCTTGGGATTTCAAGGGTGTCACCACATGCAAATCAAATCCAACACTTCCAAATGAGCTCTATATTGGTAAAGGAGATTGTAAAATAACCTTAATTTTTATATAAAAAATACAGAACTGGAAACCCAGGAAAGTGGGATTATCATTTGCATGAACTTTGTGTGCACGCTCAGAAGTTCAAGCACTGGTCAGCATACCAGATTTCATATTCTGGTGCTTGGAATATAGAGTCAAGTGTTTCTCCTACATGCAATTACTTTTTCATTAGTCAACATAGCATACAGAGTTTTTAGATATGTCTTCTAGCCTATTGGCCTATGTGCTTGAGAGCAATGGCTGGTATAAAAGCAACACTATTTGAATGTTTACTGCACACAGCAAACAAAAAAACACCATACACATTGAATATAAACAGGATTTCTTACAAACCTTTTGATGGTTATTCTTGTGTGTTTGTCATCCTGCTTATATTTATGTCTACTCTATGGGGTCTATTCACAAAGCAGCCAAAGGATCTAGCTGTAGCTTCGGCCGATCCTTCGGCTAGCTTCGGCCCCAGGACCCCTTCGGTTCAGTAGAACTGAAGGACTGCTGGACGGGCTATTTACTATAGCTCTTACAGCTCCTGAACTTGGCCGAGCGGCTCAGTCGTGACAGCTGGGCGGAACCAGCCGTGATCTTACGGCTGGCTCTGCTACTTGCAGAGAGATCAGCATCCCTGGTTACAAGCTAACCAGGGACACTGATCTCCAGACAGCCTAACTCTCCCTGGTGCTCCGGGAGTCTCCCGCTCCCGGATGCCAAGGAGAGAAACCCCTCTTTTTCTTTTTTTTGTTATTCTGACATGGAGCTGTGTCAGAATAGAAAAGAATTTGGCCACAGGAATGCATTGCTAGATTCCTATTGGCTATTCCAATTTGAAATAGCCAATAGCAAACTAGCATTGCACCCGCCCTCTGCTGCAGTTCTCCAACAGGTCCACCACTGATTGACAGCAGCAGAGGGCGGGTACAATAGCTAGTTTGCTATTGGCTATTGCAAATTGAAATAGCCAATAGGAATCTAGCAATGCATTCCTATGGCCAAAAATGTATTTTTTTTCTATTCTGACACGGCTCCGTGTCAGAATAAAAAAAAAGAGATAGAGGTGTTTCTCTCCTTGACGGCCGGGAACGGGAGACTCCCGGAGCGCCCGGGAGAGTTAGGCTTTTTTTTGTGCTTTTTTTTGACGGCAGCAGAACTGCCGGCCAATAGAAAACTGTTGGGCGGAGCTAGCTGTCATTGCTAGCTCAGCACAATCATTTTCTATTTTTATGTTTCTACTTTTTTAACTGTTTTTCTGTTCTGCTCGGTCCCACAGAGAGACCGAGCAGAACAGCCGAGCCGAATGCCGCTCGGCGGCATTCGGCTATTCACTCACTGCTGTTCGGCATCTATGAGAATAGACCGAACAGCAGCGAGTAGTGTGCCGGAGGTTCGGCTCAGCCAATCCAGATGTTGGATCGGCTGAGTTGAACTCCTCCTGCACTTGCGGCTTCCTGCGAGGCCACCAGATGAAATCAGCCGTACCAGCCTGAAGTGAATAGCCGAACAGCATTCAGCTCACTTCGCTTTAGGTCAGTCATTCACTCGGCTGCTTACGGCAGATTAGTGAATAGACCCCTATGTATTTATTTTGTATTGTGTCTAATATAGATGCTGTTTTTGCTAATCCTAGGGATAAATGCTTAATAAAAAAAAGTTCTTATCTATTTCATCTTCAGAGGTATTCCTTGATTGCGTGACATGCAGCTATAAAAAATGCCCTCTGTCTCTATATCCTATACTGTTACATAGCACTTAACAGTTCAGTCTGGGAAATGTGTCTTGTTGGGGAATGAGTCCAGCATAGTCTGAAGAGAAAGCATCACACATTGGTGTCCGTCAATCAGATCAGCTGATTCGTCTAGGGAAACTGATCTGAACCATTGGCAGCTATGTCTATTGATTTTTCACTGAATTTTGTTACCATAATACATTCAATACCTGTGCTAGAAAATGGATTGGGCCAAGCACCCTAAACAGATTGTTGTCATACTGTGGTTAGCATTCAATGTTCTTTACTTAATTAGTGATACAGAAGTGTTTTTCTTGCTACATAAGTAAACACACAAGGTCACAAATAATTTGTCACAAACACAGAAGGAGATTCAAGCCTGACCTTTGTCTTATATAATTATGTGTTTTAGGTCTCTAGCTCCCAAAGCCAATTACTGCTGCACTGTATATGTCAACACTAGCAGTAGCCTCTAATGGTTCAAAAATAATGCATAGCTCTCTACTTTAAATGCATCTGCAGTGCACTGTTAAAAAATGCATAATGCCTTTTAGCATGATAATGATATAAGCATATGTAAAGCTCTTTCATTGTACCAATTAAAAATAAAACAGCAATCTATAAAACCACTCTTCCAGTCACAAGCACCACAAGTACAAGATGGAAAAAACATAAAGACTGTCATAAGAGGATTTCAACAGGACTTAGTTTCTTGACTGAGCATAATAATAGCTAATAACCCAAAGCTGACAGATTTTTATTTTTTTTGCTTTACTTACTGTCCTGTGAAAGTGAAAACTAAACTTCTTTTTTAGATTATTCCTATCCATTTCCCTCAGTATGAATTACTGGTTTGCTTAAGTTGATATTGCATCAGGAGGAACATAGCACTGCAATTTGTAGGGACATTTCTTTAATCTTCCCTTTTCAGCCCAAGGACTCATCCAGAAAAGTGATGAGTTTTGTTTTGCACATACACCAATTAGAAACACTTATTGTTACAAAAGAAAGGCTCTATTAATCTTTGTGGTTGAATGGAAATAGTTTTGTTTCCTTGAGAGTAGCAGATTGAAATTACATATTTTTCTTTAACCTTGAAATTCTAACAGTGAATGTGGGTTTTGTTCAAGAAACTCACGTCACTTCCAAAATCAAATGTTTTAGCCAAACTCTGGGCAAGAGGACAGTTTCAAATATACAATTAGTAGTAGGTAATAGAAAGACCATCACAGATCTGATTACCCAGGCTGCCTCCAGCATTCTCAAAATGTGTTTCATCTCTCACCTGATTAGCACAGCTCCTGCTGCTTCCAGGTTGCAAGCCAAGCACTGTGGATCTCAGTAGACCTCAGTGCTATGGTCACATTCCCAACCCTCTCTCCTCCAGGATGTGACAGCACTAAATTCTGAGACCAACAGTAACTGACTTCCAAGCGGCCTGGAAATACAGTGGGAGCTGTACTAATCATTTGAAAGAAGAAACTTTGTTTTGAGGATGCCGTAGGCAGCCTGGATAATCAGACCTGTTAAGGTCTGTCTAATCCCTACAACTAATTCTTTATTTGAAACTGTCCTCCTGCCTGGAATTTTGCTTTAAAATCAAATAAAATTTTGAACAACATTCTACAAGCCACTTTTGGCATTATTGAATGTTCTGACAATATTTTTCGTATGAACATTTGTATGCATATATTAATTCTTATTTTTTATATAAAATACAAAAAATGCAAACAAATTAAAAAAACTAATTTTTCACAGCTTTGGCAAAATAATGTGCACATAATTAGTTTAGCTAACAATAAGTATTTTATAATAAATTATTTTATTTGTCCTGATTGATAAGGTATATCATACCGTATGTCTGTGATTTCAGTTTATTTTGGGAGTTATAGGTCACAAAATACAATTTTAAATTGGAACAATTTTAAAATGTGGTATGTTTGTCTCCTATCTTTAATAATCTCCTTGGTACTATGTTTTGTTATAATTTTTTATTACAAGTATTCCTTTCTAAACTTTTTTGACTTTTTTAAAAACTTTTTTCCTTTTTTAAATATTAAAACTTTATTTTTTATTTTTACATTTAATTTTTTTTAAACTAGGGGGCACTAAGGGGTTATTTTTCTGATTTACAGGGGCTTTGATCCTTATTATCGCTGAGTTGAATACAGTATTCTCCTTAGAGATACTTTCTATCACTATTGTAACGCACAGCTGGCTAGCAGTTCACAAAACACAGTGAGCTGCTGCCGCCTCTGTGACTGTCCAGGCTCTGTGATCACAGCGATCATCTATTACTGCGATCACAGGACTTTGACCACCTAATCTGCTGTTGAGGTTCTGCCTCAGACCCAGAGGGACCCATCAACAGCAGTAACTGAATGACCACCGGTCCCTTCATGGAGTCAGGAGAACTCCCCCAGAAGTCAAAGTGGAGTCAGGTGGTGTCTGTACTGGAGGCACACGAAGACAGCCAGGGAAGCTGGGAGAACTGGTGAGGCTAGGAGAGCCAAGAGCTTCAGGGGTAAAAGTGTGGGACACATACATCACAATATGTGTCTATATGTATATGTGTGTATATATACAGTATATACATACATATACATATATATATATACACACACACACACACACACACACACACACACACACACACACCCTATATTGCCAAAAGTATTGGGACACCCCTCCAAATCATAGCATTCAGGTGTTCCAATCACATCCATGGTCACAGGTGTATAGAATCAAGCACAGAAGCTCAGTGAATTCAAGTGTGGTACCGTGATAGGTTGCCACCTGTGCAATAAGTCCATCCGTGAAATTTCCTTGCTACTAAATTTTCCACGATCAACTGTTAGTGGTATTATAACAAAGTGGAAGCAACTGTGAACAACAGCAACTCAGCCACAAAGTGGTAGGCCACGTATAATGACAGAGCAGGGTCAGCGCATGCTGAAGCGCACAGTGCGCCAAAGTCGCCAACTGTCTGCAGAGTCAATAGCTACAGACCTCCAAACTTCATGTGGCCTTCAGACTGACACAACAACAGTGCTTAGAGAGCTTCATGGAATGTGTTTTCATGGCCAAGCAGCTGCATCCAAGCCTTACATAACCAAGTGCAATGCAAAGCGTCGAATGCAGTGGTGTAAAGCATGCCGCCACTGGACTCTAGAGAAGTGAAGACGTGTTCTTTTGAGTGACGAATCACGCTTCTCTGTCTGGCAATCCGATCCGATGGACGTGTCTGGGTTTGGCGGTTGCCAGGAGAATGGTACTTGCCTGACTGCATTGTGCCGAGTGTAAAGTTTGGTAAGGGGGGATTATGGTGTGGGGTTATTTTTCAGGGGTTGGGATTGGCCCCTTAGTTCCAGTGAACGGAACTCTTAAGGCATCAGCATATCAAGAAATTTTGGACAATTTCATGCTCCTAACTTTGTGGAAACAGTTTGGGGATGGCCCCTTCCTGTTCCAACATGACTGCGCACCAGCACACAAAGCAAGGTACATAAAGACATGGATGAGCAAGTTTATATTTATGTCACTTTACATTTTCTCTGTATTGCTTCTTTATATTCTTTCAATAAAAATTAACATGCTAAAAAAAAAAAAGTGCGTGTTTAATACTATTTTAAGTTAGTGCTCCTGCTAATGTAACACTTTGATCTCATGGTGGCTAGGGTGGTGCAGTAGTGCCAGACAAGAGGTTCTTTAAACAAGAAGGGCTCTATTGAGTTCCATACTAAGATAAAGCAGTAGTCATGAGTTCATTTAGACATTTTAGTGTAAAAAATCACTAGTATTAAAAACTTTCATGTGATGTACTCATTATCATATAGTGAATCATCACGATAGATTTGAAATGTTATGAAAAACAAAGCACAGAGACATTACCAGTAATTGCAGTTTTCTTTATTTATTGATGTATCTTCGTAATATGTTCCAGCTTTGAAGCACCCTGTCAATACAATATTCAATGTTAGGCTTGAAGTATTGGTTTAATTTACTTCTAAAACATTGTTATTTATTTGTAGTGTTTATATAACTCTGACATATTACTCTGGAATTAACTAAACATAGCATAGATCCATTCCTATTAGTCAATATAGATCCAAAAAGTTCACAACGCCGTTTCTCTGTCGCACTCATACACCCTGTAGAAGCCATGTGGAGGAAAGTCAAATACCGGCAATTATATATTGGATGGTTGGATTTAACCTATGCAAACATGGAGAGAAAATGCATATATCATGCAGATAGTGGCCCAGGTGGAATGTGTTTGCTACAATAAAACAGTGTACATTTACTAGATGCTTGTACTACAGGATACATTGTAGCAGAAGCTTTAAAATTTGCCTTAAAATGTTAAAAAATAAGATATAACATTAAAGGATGACAGTACCTTTGTTTTGAAAATCGAACCTAGCAAAGTATTACATTAATATAAATGCTATATTCCACTTACAACATTACTAACTGACCATCCAGAATCCTATGGAGGAACAAATACACAGGAAGTACTGTACTGTGGTTTGCAAGTCCCAGCCTCCAATGCACCTGAGAGAACTCAGGTAACCAACTGGCCAACAGGTTGGCAGGATTAATAGAGCAAGAGCTGGTTAAAACCGGAAAAAAAACCTAACAAAATCTTGCTTGCTTACTGAGTATTGTCAGCTTCACCCAACTGTGTAATACAAAGAACTAGGGATGCACAGATACTTTTCGAGTACCAGTGCAGATACTTGGCATTTTCATGAGGACTACCAGGGTTGCAGCGGTTGCAGCTGGGACCTGGCTCTGGCGCTCCACCACTGTCCTGATATCATTAGTCTGTATTGTTTTAGAAAAACTGTCACATGACAATAAACAAAAATGTATCAGTACTCGTACTCGTAAGTACTCGGCAAGTACCAGTACTCGTACTCGCAAAACTGGTATCTGTGCATCCCTTTATTTATATTTATAAAAACAAAATCATACATTAAAACAGAGATGTACAAATCCCAGGAGCTCCGTGTACTCCCTACAAATGACAGCTGCCTCCTAATTTTTGAATTTTTCTCTAGTCTAGTCTTGGAGCTCAAAAGTATCGGTACATGTACTCGTAACGAGTACTGTACTTGGTATCTGTGCAACCCCACAAAGAACGGTGTATAGCTCTTCTGCTCAGTTCTGCTGTAGTAGAATAGTGAGTGTGTGAATGCTGCTAAATCTTCTCAGCATGTCCACAAATTGGCTATTAGGTAAAGAATGAAGAAACGGGATTTAGTGTCTTCAAGTGTTGAATGTTGGCACTTGAAAGTACAGGAGAGTACTTTCTGTGCACTGATTCCTCCACAGGAACCTGGAAGGCCAGTTAGTGATGATGCAAGTGGCCACCATTTCCATGGATTTTAGCAACAGAGATACGTTATGCAGATCATGGAAAATCTTAATTTATGTGCAAAAAATGTTAGCATTTATGTTGCTGTTTTAACCTCTTCAGCATTTAGCCTGGAAATTTCTCAGGCTTGGAATTCTGGGTAAAGAAAAGGTTAAACCTGTGCATAATGCTCAGGGTCAACACTGAAGTGGCTAGGAATGTTGTGAATGGGGAGGAGAATCTTTGGAGATGTGAGCACTCTGCAAGCACCTGTCAGGTTGAGTACTGTCTTGTACTCAATTTGTTCAGAAGCAGGACAGGGGAAGTATCAGGGATCTAATATATGCCTGATGTCTCAACAAAAAGGACCTGTCACTGCTGAATGTACTATTACATAGAAACTTGTCAGCTATCTTGTGAATGTCATAAAGATAAGTTAAAACATTGAAAGGACTTCCACTTTAATGCATGTGCATTCACATGCAAATGTGCATCTATGATGCCCATTCATAGGTAAACAGCAATCAGGTTAACACATATTAAGCATTGCTGTGCTAGGGCCATTATTTATGATTACCTCTAAACTGATGAGCTGTAAATGTTTTAATGAGGTCTATTCATGGCCAGCATTACAGGACCTGTTGTTGTTTACATAGGGATGATGTCAGGCAGCCATGTCCATACTGCCAGAGTAATCAAGGATAGATAAGATGCAATCTCTTCACCTCTGTGATAAATTTTGAGGATGAACTGTCCTTTTTCCTACACCAGGAGCCTCTGCACCATAAACCAACTCTTCCTGAACTAAAAGATACTAGAACTGTCTTGATGCCAAATGTACAAATCTGCATATGCATATGTCATTGCAATCCCGAAAGCTAAGGTCTCTGATGGATCTGTGAAAGGTGCTATCTCACCACTGATAAAGGAGTCAAACGTTTGTTACACACCTGCAAACATGAAACTACCTGACTGGACTGAAATGGTAATCAATTGAAACTTCTTTTAATCAATACCATGCCATCACTGGCAGTATGTCAGGCATATTAAGTTTAACTTGCATGTATCAGGTATCAAAGAATTTTACATAATGTGGATGTAATGGTTTTCTAGGTGTCTTGTAGTGTAACAATTACTTTAAGCCACCAATCATCAGCAATCATGTGTCTAATACATTGATTGCAGTCTGCAACCTAACTGTGTTATCCTGAAGAGTATGACAACAGAAAATTGAAAACATAAGAACAGTGGTAATTTATTGTTCAGAAACGATTACATTAATATCACACTAAAGAACACTTTTTGAAACATGACATTGTTTCCTTTAATAAACCAGCAAATATGAGCCATTCCAGAACAGGCAAGGTTAGGGTGGTGAGAGGTAGTTAGAGTAGGAGGGGAGTTCAGGTTCAGGGGAGGTATCAAGGGGGCTTCTTCCTGCTGTGGGGTGACTGCAGGGGTGGAGGGTAGCATGCAAGCATTAAGTAAGAGCAGGGGGAAGTATAGTGATGAAGGGGTAAGGTGCAGTCATGAAATTGAGGAGGTGTTGTGAGGGTGTGCAGGTTCAGCCTTTAGAGAGGGTGCCTTGTGCATTCATGGGGTGGGAGATCAGCCTACAGACAATGAGGGGCTAGTAGTGGTGCAGATTTGTTAGGGAGAGTGGGGGAAAACACGTTCATGTGCATTGCTGTGAGGAGGGATAAAGGTTCAGTGGGGGAGGTGAAAGAAGCAAAAGTGGGTGAGGGCATGTATAACATACTCATCTATCTTTGCTCCAACTTTGATGTTCAGTGCCATCCTCCCTGCATGTAAGAGGCTGAGGCATCATCCAGCTCCTCCTTCTCAGATGGCTTAAGTTAGGAAGTTCAGTTGCTCAGTGTTCAAGCAATGTGCTGACGCCAATCAAGTGTACTTCAGACAGCTCATCATCCGGACTACTGCTGCAGACTGTTCCACTTTCGTTTTGGCAATTCGCTACATTCACCTTGGTTGGAAGCTATTTCATTCACTCTCCATCTCGGCAGATAATCAGCATCTGATCCACTCACATTCATTACAACTCCTTTAAAGTCTGCTAATCCTTTCGTCTTCTCAAAATGTGAATTGTATCACATGGGATGCACTGTCTTCTCTGTTGCAGTGCGTTAGCTGCCTGTGCCTCATATCCTTCCTCCCCATACAGGGTATGAACGCCGAACTTTATGGGATGTTTGCGCTATGTTCTACCGTGCAACGTCCCTTAAGGCAAAGCACCCTCCAAAGCTCTAATTGGCTAAAGTCTCAGTACAGATTTGGAGCCATGATTAAGCAAAGTCATGATGACTCTGCCCAATCATGTTTCACCTATCAGATGACAGCAAAATACACAATTGGGCAGAGCTAGCTGTCACTGCTATCCCCGCTCAATTGTTTATGTTTTGCCGGCATCTGTCAAAATTAATTATTTCTATTTATTTTTTATTGTTTTATTTTATATTTCATTGTCGTCGTGGACAACGATGGACATCGTGATTGACCATGGATTACTTCGGTGGATCCATTTTTTTTTTATAAATAAAAGACTCGTGAAAAACATGTCTTTTGTTTTTTCTCCAAATAAAGGATTTTATCAAGTCTGGACTTTCCGGCCCTACTAGGCCTATGCTCGGATCAAGGGTCTGGTATGGAATTTTAGGGGGAACCCCATGTTCCCCCCCATTTTTGGGGGTGGGGTTCCTCCTTAAAATTCCTACCAGACCTTAAGGGCCTGGTATGACTTTAAGGGGGAACCCCACACACTTTCTTATTTGTACACGGGGTCTCTCCTAAATATTCCTACCAGACCTTAAGGGCCAGGTATGACTTTGAGGGGGAATCCCACACACTTTTTTTTGTACACGGGGTCCCTCCTTACATTCCTATCAGACCTAAAGGGTCTGGTATTGTTTGGGAGGGGGAACTGCACACTTTAAGAGTAAAAAATATGTCTTTTTTTTTTTTAGAAATTGTCAGTTTTGCTGCAGCAGGTTCTATACATTGTACAGATCCGCCACTTCACAGGCAGGTTAAGGTGACCCCCTGGGCACGATATTTGAAGGAATTTTTCATTTTTATTCTTACCCTTTAAGTGATGTTAAAATCACTGCTCCTTTAAAACAAAATGTTTTTTTCATTGATTTCTGTCCCCCAGAGCAGTACCCGGACCCCCATACACCTTTTATGGACAATAACTTGCATATAAGCCCTCTTAAAGAGGACAATCATTTTTGAAAGTTCGACCCACCATTGACTTGCATTGCGTTCGAGTTTGTATTCAAACTTTTCGGCCGTTCGGGTGTTTGAATACAAACCAAACACGGGGGTGTTCGGCCCATCACTAATGAGCACACCTCAGTTTCTAAGAAGGCCTCCATGTTGTACAGCCAGCACAAGTGAAGACTGTCAAACTAACAAACTATTTCTGAAAAGGACATTTGACTATACTTGATCGGGTATTCGAGCTATAATTGAATGAGAGTTCATGGTAGAAATGAACATTTTCGGCCAAAAATCTTCCAGTGTATGGCCACCTTTAGTGAGGGGAGCATTTTAATATGAGAGAGTGGTACTGTGAGAAGTAATGTGAGGTTACAATGGACAGAGT